GAGGGGCGCCGGGCGCCGCCGGTCCCGGTCCGGTCGGAGGCGGCCTGTCCCGAGCTGGGGAGAGCGCAGTGAGGAGGCCAGCTGGCAGGAACGGTTAAGTTGGTCTTCTGTAGGATTTAATTAATTATCTCCGTACCCGTGAAACTGGCCCACGTGGTGTCATGTTCAGCACTCCGAGAACCCAGGGCCGGAGCTGAATACCCACAAATGTGTGAACACAAACATGGATATAAATAAAACTATCGGCACTCTTCATGCTGTTTTTCTCTTCAACCACTATTCTGGGTTTTACACATGGCTGATTTCAACTGAGTGGTTCCTGTGTAAAATCCTGGCACTCGGCAGGATGGGAGCCTGAACTTTCTTTTGGAATCCCAATTTTTGCTTCAGCCAGTGCCTTAGAAGGCTTTGGTGAGCTGTGTACACTTCTTGTATATATACCTTTGTGGCCTTGAAAGCTAGACTTCATTTCATTTACGTTTTATTATTGCGTATGTTTTTCAGCTCGTGGCACACATTCTAAGCTTTCGGATGCACTACTAGATACTGGTATATAGTACATAAAACCAATCTGAATTCTTAATAAACTCAATATGATCCTACATGATTTTTCAAAGTGTAAGTATTGGCAAGCACAGGAATAAGGGATTGGTCCCGGTGTTTAATTCAGAAGAGTGGAAGCTTTTCAAGTGTCTGCATTTATGCCACAAATTCGTGGGTGCTTGTAATGTCCTGGGAGACCAGGAGTTAAAAGCTGTTTGGAAGTTAACATGCTCTAAGGGTATAAAAGAAGCCTCCATGGCTCTAGTTCCTAAACTCATGTTTGGAAATGCACTGTATCTGTCCTAAGAAAGCTCTTCTTAAGAGACAAACTTCGTGCATGTTAAATGAGGTAAGTGCACAAACAATGTCTGTATTTCATTCAGCATTTTGCAAGGAATTATAACCATTACAGTACCACCAGCAATAAAAGATAAACTATATGTACTAGCACTGCATGTTTGCATTTTGCTGTTTACTCTTCAAACTGCTGTGGTGTTTAAATTCAGCAAACCAAGATTCAGAGCGTGAGTCATTTTTTCAGGCAGCGTGTAAATAGCCATTTTGGCACCACTGCTAAAGAGACTGGGGTCAAAGGACAGTACAGAGTGTCCAGTGCTGTAAAATACAACTTCACTGCTTTGTTTAATAAATTACTTACTATGATTAAATATCTGACAGCTTCTAAGTACAGGAGTAATACAGTTGAGTGTTTAAGTAAACAGTCTCTCTGTATTAACTCGCTGTAAGATTCAGCAAATCTGTATGCATAAGCTGAAACAGAAAGAGCAACTTTTGTAGGAAATATATTTGTGGCAGAGCGTGTCTAGATAAGTCCTAAGTTTAGCTTTCTTTTCGTAGACCTGCAGTCTATCAGCCTGGGTTATAAAGCCTCTCCCAGGCACTAGCCAAATACTCTCTCTGTCACTGGAGTATAATCTTAATAAAAAGGAATTCAACAAACATTCTTTATTCCCTTGCAATGTAATATTTTTTATATTTATATTGTGTGTTGGATACTAATTGCAAATACTTCTGTCACAGCAGTAAAACTTATTTTCTGTTATTAAGACCTTTTATTCTAAATGTTTTGATCCTCATGATGGAAATTATGGCTGCTCTTGGGCTTAAGTTTCAGAAGCCTACCTGAATGCTTTTGGAAATGGAACAAGTCAAGTTGTTGACTAAGGTTTTTTGGGGGAGAATACAACTATTGTCCCATTGTGGTCTATATCTGTTTTCTTTTTGTTGTGGTTTAACCTGGCAGGCAGCTAAACACCACACAACCGCTCGCTCACTCCCCCCGCAGTGGGATGGAGGAAGGAATCGGAAAAAAAGTAAAACTTGTGGGTTGAGGTAAAGACAGTTTAATAGGACAGAAAAGGAAGGGAAAATAATAATAATGATAAAAGGCCAATTGCTGACCCCCCACTGACCGATGCCCAGCCAGTTCCTGAGCAGTGGTCACTGCCCCCCGGCCAACGCCCCCCAGTTTATATACTGAGCATGACGTCATATGGTATGGAATATCCCTTTGGCCAGTTTGGGTTAGTTGTCCTGGCTGTGCCCCCTCCTAGCTTCTCACTGGCAGGGCATGAGAAGCTGAAAAGTCCTTGATGAGTGTAAGCACTACTTTAGCAACAACTAAAACATCAGTGTGTTACCAATATTATTCTCATATTAAATCCAAAACAGCTCCTAGGAAAAAAATTAACTCTATCCCAGGCGAAACCAGGACACTTTTAAATAAGAGATTGCTGAAATTAGAAGGGTCATCACTGGCAAAGTTGTTTCAATGTGTTAAAGGTCTGTGTTAGCAGAGCCAGGAATACTAGTTAAGTCAGTCATGGATAAATTGCACTTTAATTTCAGCTAGTGTTTCTTCTAATCGCTGTTCTTCAGATATTATTAAACAAAAAAGATAATACAAGCAACAACATGCTTTGAGGAACTCAGCTGTTCTTGTTTTTTTAGATCAAAGGACTTGATGTTTCAGCATTATGTGTTGATCTAGAGCCAAGATATGATTCATATTTTACTGTTTTTGCTCACTTTAGATCATTCTGCCCTTGTATACTGTAATGTTTATGTAACTTCAAACATACATGAGTATACTTGTTACACCTAGTTTGCAATGCAAAACTGTCAGATATTTAAGTGCATTATTAAAGTTTACATTAAAAAAGTCTTTTCATACTGTCATTAGTACAAGATTTACCTATATATCATATATTAATAGAGATTGCCTGGAGAAGTTAACTTTTGAACTGTGTAACAGTACCATTAACAGACTTGGAGATATTACTAAATATGGTAAATGAAGGGGAGGGCTCCTTGGGAGGGAGGAGTGTCAGGTTAGCAACTCCCCGCCTCACAACGGGAGTCTAAAACTGTTAGAGAGATGTTAATTCACTTTCATTCACATCTGACCTAAACAGGCTTAAAGAATTTCCTATTTAAAAGAGTAAAAAGAATTTTTTTTTTTTTGAGACAAAAGTTTTACGTTATCATTATTTTCTGTTTTGCTTTCAGCAATTCTTAGAGCTGCTGAAAAGCATGACTTCCTCTTCTGCTGTTGATAAACCTCCGGTAAGACGGGTTGCTATCTTCGGGGGAACTCATGGCAATGAGTTATCAGGGGTATTTTTGGTCAAGCACTGGCAAGAGAATGGAGCTGAGATTCAAAGAACAGGAATGGAAGTGAAACCATTTCTTACCAACCCAAGAGCTGTGAAGAAGTGTACTAGATACATTGACTGTGATCTGAACCGTGTTTTTGACCCTGATAATCTTGGGTAAGAATAGTTGTACTTTCTGTTGTTTTACTATTCTGATTTTTAAAATTGTAAGGAGCTTCCTCTCCAGATTAAAATGTTAATACAAGTTCCACTACTATTTTAACTGTGCAGTCACATAACTGAAATTACTGACCTTTAACCCAAAAAGAACAAATTGCATGAGTGTTAACAGATTCATTTTAAAACTATTGCTAGCAGAATGAGTCTCAAACCAACACACAATCTTAAACACAGCATTTAAAATTAGTATTAGATTAGCTGTATTTGTGTAAACTTAAGTATTACTGTTCTGAGTTGCAAAGTCATTATTTCTCACATGTCGTCTTGTGCATTCAGCTTTGGAGCTCTTCTGAATACAATTATACCTGTCGAAGGTAGCAGATAAAAGCAATTTAAAGGTAGACATCTGAGTATCTGAAAGAATGGCATACAAATCAGGGAAGTGTATTTAATTTCAGTTATACACAGTAAAAGATGAAAACTTGAAATTATCTAAGTTAGAAATAATGTATTCTATGGCAAAATGATAGCCAAAAAGTCTCAATAATTTAACTGACTCATTATTTTAGAAGAAATACAATCTATAATTACTGTAAAATAGTAATTGATTTTACATTTTTAATGGGGTTTTATGTGTCTCTGCTTTTGAGACATCTGTTCCAGAGGTGTACTTTTCTGTGTAAACATTCTTATGCTTGGTATAGTTGCATGCTAAACTGGTAATTATGTTTCAGAAAGGAAAGGTGAATATCACTGAAAGAAATATGTATCACATATTTTGTAAGCATGATTATTCTTACCTTGCACGTCTTTTCATTTTAGAATTTTTTATATATAAGATAAACAGACTGTTTAACACATAAGTGTTGAGGCCATTCTTTTAATTGCTGACTTAGGATAAACGTATGGAAAAAAAAGTGGTTTTGTTTGTTTTCAGCTGCTTTGAACATAGAACACTTGAAAAAATAGCAGATTAAGACACCTGCAGGTTGTCTTCATTTTTTAACTAATATTCCTCAGTAAATCCTATTAAGTTGCCCAGTCCTATTACAACACTACTGACTGTTTGGAATACCTTCACCTGATCCCTTTAAGTGTAGACCCTTTAAGTTTACAAATTATATTACAAAATAAGAAAAAGGAGAGTGAAATCCTGACACTACTGAAAGCAATGGTAGAAGTCCCATTAGCTTCGATAAGTATTAATTTAACAGTCTTATGTGAAGAAACCTTGAATTTCAAAGACAGAACTAAGGAATACAAAGGTAGATTATGTGATATACAGAATCATAAAAATAGAAAAAGGAGCCTGAGGGGCTCACATAAAAATTCTAATCCACCTCACGTCCCACCAGTAGATCAACTGCATGTAGAAATTCCTAATAGATTATATCTTGCTATTTCTAATGCTCCAGCAGTGGTGATCCCATAATTTTCCTCAGCAACCTCTTCTGATGCTTAAATATCCATGCAGTTAGTAAGGTGTTTTGTTAGTATTTAACAAAACTTTCTTTATGCAACTTAATACCAGTATTCCTTAAAAAATTAAAATATCACAAAGCTTGAGCTGTATTGAGAAAGAAAACTGAATTTAGCGCAAAAGATATTAGGTGTGTCTATATTGTACTTGGGTAGTATCCTAAGCCTGTCATCAAAACCATATTTGCTGTCTATGCGGAACAAGTCTGAACCTACAGCAGCTTTGTACACTGTTAATATGCAAGATAGATGTCTGTGTGTCATATAGAGCCCTATAGGAAGGGGCTTCCTAAAGGAAGCAGATCTCAGACCTTTCCTTAGGCTAAGACCATTTTTTTGAAATGTAATACAGACATAGTCACCTGAGATTACAAGTATTAAAACTTTGGAGGAATAGATTTGAGGTAGCAAAATCTTCTATGAGCTTTGGGGGTCAGGAGGGGTCAGAACAATAAACTGTGAAAGTCTGATCAGAATATGAGAAGACAAGAAATAAAGCAAGTTACAAAAGACCTTGTGGCTGATGTCCAAGGTAAAAGGGCGTGGACCGATATCTGAATACCGTCTTCAGTAGGAGTTGGATCCAGTCTTGGAAGTGGTTTAAGTTGTTGATAAATTTTGAGTTAGTTTTCTGCATAAGTGAAATTTTAGGATATAAAGAAATAAGAGAGAAGTAAATAGTCTTCAGCTAAAATCAGATTAAAAAATTCTTACTACCCTTCTGCACAAGATACATAATAATAAGACCTGTTTAACAATCATACTTGCTTTTTCAACCACAAATTCATCAAGTTTTAACAGTTTGGTAATTAAATAGGTGATTTCAACTCCAGTCAATTATGGAATTAAAGTAAAAAGAAAAGGGTATACATATTTTGTTGACTGTAAAGCCATGGAATGAGTTTAATAATTTCTTTGTACTGATATTAACAGCAGGACAGTGGTGGAAGATATTCCATATGAAGTGAGAAGGGCTCAGGAAATCAATCAGATATTTGGTCCAAAAGGTAGTGATGATGCGTATGACCTTATTTTTGACCTTCACAACACCACTTCTAACATGGGTGGTACCCTTATTCTTGAAAACTCCAGGGATGACTTTACAATTCAAATGTTTCATTATATCAAGGTAAAACTAATTTAAATGAACTATTAAAATAGCTTATTAGTTGTAATGTTGTATTACTATATATTATTTTGTAGTTTCTTTAAATATACTATTTTTTATTCTGCAAAACTGTTTAAAATATTTAATCACTCATAGGATGGGTTTTTTAATCAGAGATAATTAATAATTTGATTATAATACCAGGAAATTCAGATTTGAACTCATCATAATCTTCATGTATTAAAATGAGTGTTAGTAAGACTGATGGGCAAAGAGGAATGCTTAGTATAACATCTATGAAAATCAATGTAAATTAATCTGCTTTCACACTGATCTGTCAGGAACTCGGATAAATTTGGATCACACATGCTAAATAGTTAAACATTAATTTTATGAAATAAAGACACAGAAAAAAATAATGGAACTAGGTAATGACAAATGTTCCCTTCATCAGTATTTATAAGAATAGTGATATATCTTTAGAAGCTGTTTGATTCTGCTGTTCCTGAAGCTGATAAGTATTGGTAGAATGAGGTTTGCAAAAGTGCTGGCTTAAGCGTAATCTGGTTGAAGTACTAGTGACCTAGACAATGACTGATGGAATCAAGGTTAGGCCAATGGTGTGGACTTTTAATTTTTTTTTCCCTTAGAAACAAGGGGTATTTTAACATTTGATTTTTTTTCTTATTACGTGCATCCCATTTAAATGTTTGTAAAATATTTGAAGATATAGAAGGCTTATGACTAGAATTATATGAAGAGCAATGGTAGGCAGTCATCAGGAAAGAGGCCTGAAATAGGTTTCTATGTTAAAAAAAGGTTAAAAGAAGGCATAATTCACAATCTGTGTCCCCATAAGAGAATCTAAGTCTAACACAAAAAATACTTGAAGCCTGCTTTACGGTATTTTGATTCTAAGTTTTGGAACACTGATGAGTAGATTTTTCTTCCTGTTAGCAATTTAGGGCTAGAACTGTCTTCAGTTATATTAGGAGACAGCAAAGTTCAGTGGAGCATGCCTGGCATGAGTTAATGGAAAGGAGACCAACAAATACAGCTTTGTACGTTTTCTAAAGATGTCCTACTTCTTTGAAGGCCATGAAATAAAGGCAACATATTGAAGACATTGTGTAAATCACTTCTGCATCGGTAATCTTTTGTGGCACAACATTTTAAAATATTTGCATAACAAAGAAATTTTTAAACAATCTCCACAGAACGCTTTGGCTCCAGAACGCTGTCCTGTTTTGCTGATTGAACATCCTAGCTTGAAATATGCAACAACTCGATCTGTAGCAAAACATCCTGTTGGTAAATATGAAAAATAAAGACTATTTTAACCCACCATAAATTATTTAAAAATATGCCTGTTCCAGATCTGTTCATTTCATTATGTTATACAGAGTGCTTTGATCACCAGTAGCTATTTGTTTGATAATATATTTACCAAATCAAATGTATATGATTATCTCTTCTTCTGAAGATTTCTGATTTATACTTGGCTTACAAAATACAGAAGCCAGATGGAAATTCTTAAACTCAGTTAACCCACTGTTTGCAGAAAATATTTATAATATATGAGGATAAGGAAGAAGTAACAGCTTCAGAAAAGAAATGTTTATGTCCTCTAAATAAGCCTTGGCTGAACTGCTGGTTGTTAGCCAAGAAAAGGAAAAGAGAAGACGTCATAAAGGAAGGGGGAAATGATGTTCTGCATGGAAGTGGTTAACTTTTTCATTTATGGAATCAAAACCATAACCATAGAAAAAAAAAATCATTAGTTTGCTTTTCATATTAAACAATGTGTTCTTTAAAATGCAGCATGGAAAGATAGGATGAAGAAAAGAATACAGAAACGAATATATATAGTGACTCTTTCTCTTACCCTAGTAGCACACTCAAAAATGTGCATATGGTTCTTTAAACTGATCCTGACTGGTGAGCTAAATTTTCTGCTTGCCTTAAAAATCACGTAACTCTGTACTTTACAATTCCTCTTAAACATAAAACACAGACCCAATCAGACATCTATTTTTGCTGTGTAATCTAAGCATGTGAAATATTATGGCTATATTAATAATCTCCCTCATCTGCAAACAGGTGTGGAGGTGGGTCCCCAGCCACAAGGTGTTGTTAGAGCTGATATTTTGGACAAAATGAGGAAGATTGTCAAACATGGCCTTGATTTTGTGCAACTTTTTAATGAAGGTAAAGTAATGAGAGAATATAGCCTCCTCTGTCATATTAGTGGACTATTTCAGGAGAATATTTTTTTAAAACAATAGGTTGGGCTACAACATTTTACAGTTAAACAGGTAAAAAGGAGGTGGGGGGAGTAGGATTTTTCTCCAGACCACCTACGTGTGGCATCAGAAAGTCAGAATTCCTGTATAGCTGGGTAGCTTTAAGGATATTTCCTCTTTCTGAAGATTCAATAAATATACTTGATCTTAATCTCACAGTTGCTTTCAGAATCTGAAATACTAGCTAACAATATTTGTATAGTAGTATGTACATGGAGAACATACATAAATTAATACTAAGAAGGAAGTGTTTAATTTACATGCTTTCTGTTCATTGTTATCTAAAATTAAAGTCAATAAATTTTGTAAGATTGTTACACCTGTGTACTATCTAAAATACATGCTGACAAAAGTAGGTGTTTAAAATTCTTTTAGAGTACATTTTGTCAGTGGGCTTTTTTTGGAAGCAGAAGGAAAAGAATATAGTTGTGCATGTCAGAATCTCTATTATAGTGTTGGAACGGTAAAGATTAAATAGCACTGATACCATTCTGTGTTGTGCAGCACTATCAAACACAGGCCTTTCATAGATTTCTTCATCTACAAAATACATCTTTAAGTATACAGTGAAAAGTCACATTTCAGCACCAAATTTAGATCTGGGCTTCATAAGCTACAGTACATGACTGGACAATCTTTCTGCAACTTAGCTTCAAGGGGACAAAAAATCTGGAGCTAGACATTTTTATGATATATGAGCTAATCATTAGTGTGTAAACTTTGACGAGGTACAACCTTATGATTTAAGCCATTCCAAAGAGAATAAATAATGCATTGTTCTTTTTAACAGGCAGTTGTTCATTCTGACATTAAATTACATTTATTCTTTCTAGGAAAGGAATTTCCACCATGTACAATTGAGGTTTTTAAAATAATGGAGAAAGTAGATTATCCCAGGAATAAGAATGATGAAGTTATTGCTATTATTCACCCTAAACTGCAGGTAAATTCTAAAATAGTTTCCATTTGTAACATTTTATAAGTATTCCTATGTTGCTTCTGCTACATTGTAGTATATTTTAATAGTAAATATTTAAAATTACAATATTGCCAATGGGTTTATTGAATGCTTTAGACCTTCCCTGTAGTAAGTTCTGTCATTAAGGTCATACAGTATTTCAGTAACTCACTCGGGAATCACTGAATCTAACATCACTTTTGAACCTAAAACTGAAAAGAAAAAGACAATAGGATAGCTTATATTCTAAAATATGAATCTAATTTTGAATTCAAAAATGAGGGTCTGTTTTTAATCAGTTGTGAGCATATGCAGTTTCCTTTTAGTTCACCTTTACCAGTGATTTCTATACAAGCCTGAAAACGAGGGCCTGAAATTACATACTGAAGATTAAAAGGAATTCTTTTAAAAGCTTTTGCCATAAACTGGAGAGAATATAATTATTGAGCATAAGCTCAGAAATCACATGAAATACACAAAAACTTGAAAGTAAATATATTCTATTTATTTTCTTTCTCTAAGGATCAAGACTGGCAGCCACTGAACAATGGGGATCCTCTATTTTTGACTCTTGATGGAGAAGTAATTGCATATAAAGGGGACTGTACAATCTATCCAACATTTATTAACGAAGCTGCATATTATGAAAAGAAACAAGCTTTTGTAAAAACAGTAAAAATGAAACTCTCTGCAAAACATATCAGATGCTCAGTCTTAGACCAGAACACTACTTAAAAACCTATTACAGATTTTCAATACAAAAAGTAGATTTCTTCTCTGTGAAATCCAGTGTCATTCAGTAGTAAATATGGAATAAATAAATAAATAAATGCAGAATCTAATTTTAAATTGTAATTTAATTAAATTGCTGAGCACTTTTAAGATGAAACATACTGTCATAATGCTAATTATGATTGTTTACTTGTTCTAATACATTACTATAGATGCAAAGAATAAATATTATTTTTATGAAGCTTGTTAGTTCACATTATATAAAATGATTAAAAAATGTACCACACATGGGTTAGCGGCTATAAAACTTATATCTAGCATCATATAGAAAGATGCTCATCCACAAAACTGCATTATATAGGAAAATCACAGCATTTCTACTTCATAACCCCACGCCTCCAATAACCAACACTTTTTAAAATGAGGTGATCCTTGAAACTAAATCCGCAGATAAACATACAAAATATGAGACAAAGGAAAAGCTAGGGAGAGAGAAACAGAGTGAGGGTATGTATATTAAAACTCTCTTGTACTACCTGCATTTGTGACTAACCCCTACTGCGCTGAAGTGTAAGCCTCAGGGTTTGTTTGTTTTTCTTTTTATACTTACGAAGATATAAAACAAGCTAAAAACATAGGATTTTTGAGAAAAATACACTAAAATGAAATGTAAAGCTTTTTAAATTTAAAGTATTACAAGATTAATTCAAGCTGTTTCTGATTTAACATTAATTTAATGACAAAAAGTTTGAATTTTGAAATTATCTAGTAGTGGGAAACATACTGGAGCAATATTCAAATTCAGGAAGAAGATGTGCTCATCCCATGGAAACTTTTGAAGAAAGTTTCTATTGCAATGGGGACAAGAGAAGTTTATAGCTTTATAACTTTCTAGGTGTATCCACTTACTGCTTATAACATTTTCCAAATAAAATTTTAACCAACTGTTGTACCCCAAAAGTTTTCAATGAAGAAGGCAAGATTAGGTAATTACTCCGGTTTTGAAGAGCAATGCACAAACCATTCTGAGTATTTCAGAATGGAAATTAAGAATGCCATATGGGGAGACTTCTCAGAATTTTAAGACTGACTTGTTCTGTATTTGTAGAGAGAAAGCCTGTCATAGTAGCTGAAAAAGAGAAGAAAATGGGGATTTAATTAATTTTCTAAAGTTGTTTTTAACATATTTGACAATAATTTGGGATAGAGAAAACATTAAGAACTTTGCATAAGGATACAATAATTAGCTATTTACTGAAAGATTCATTGCCTAGATAACCCCCAAATGACATCTTTTGAGAAGTGATGTCTTCCTTATTTACTTACTAAGCCAAAATCTTTTTTCCTTGCTTTGTGTAACTCCTATGGCAATAAAATAAAAACAAACACAGGACAGAATGTTTATTGAATTACAAGTTTTATTTCTTTAATTTAAATAAACATAGTATAAAAAGTACAGAATTATCTGTTGTAGTCATTATTCATAGTGTTCTCGATAAGAGCCTTGAGATAGGAGACAGTATGTGTGATCTGGCAGGGCTCTGTCGCCACAAAAGGAAGGTATTTTCTCAGAAGTTTCTCAGAACTTTTAGAAACAAACCCCCAGCTTCTTCCTCAGTTTTATTGTGCAGTTTTGTGCCTGGACATTGGCATAGCACATTCCTTACATTTTTTTATGTCTTCCCTGTTTTATGGCTACAACTACAGAGTGACCTCAGTGCAGCGCATAGATATCTGAACCTGTTTTCAGTGACAAGTCTACCCATAGCAACATGGAGTATAGCACAGGCTAGTTTATTCTGGTTCCTGAGTATATGTGAAGAGGTATTTTTTTTTGTACAAAAACTGGCACTAAAAAGAATCCAAACGGAACTGCATAGTCCTAAGGCAATATTCTTTGTTGGCAGTTTCAATGCAAAATTAACTAGCAAAGATGAAAGATTCCCAGACCGCAGGAATTTTTTTTCTCATACTCACATATCCTAAGAAGGCCAAACAATGCTCCGATATTACATTGGTCTATTGATACACATAAATGTCCTTCCCCTCAAATTCCTATGCCCTGTAAAAACATAATTGAATTGAAGATTTCAGTTTGATCCCAATCCATCCAGGCCATACATGGTAGGAAACACAGGATGCAGCATCTATAGAAGACCAGTTGGGTAGCGAGAACCATGTTTCACCATTCCTGCAAATAGCTTTGCACTATCCTTTCCGCTGGAGAGTTCCCTCACGCTCTCTTCTGTGTTAAGAAAGTCTTTTGGATCATTTTGCCCACAGCAGGCTTAGCTGTAAGAATCCAATGCAATTCATATTATCATCCAAACACAGAACAGAATTCACCTGAGTCTTTCCTAAATAGCACCTTTAAAACAGGCACCAAATGAATATGTATGATGAAAACCCATGACACTGAAGACACATAATGTATTAATTGAAATTTAAAAGTACATAGAACAAATATTTCTTTTTACACATACACACATAAAATAGAAAACTAAAAATATAATTCATAGTACTAGATCATCACAGGTAGTAAAATAAAAAGTGCTACAGAAATGCATTACGTAGTCCTCTGAATAAAAAAAGCTTTAAAAGTCAGCAATTGCATTGCATTTAACTTATTTTGTTAATTTCTGGAAGAAATACTGACTACTTATTTTCCTGAAGTGGTTGAATACAGAAATTAATTTACTTTTAAACTCAAAGAACTTCTGATGTGATAACTTCTTTTTTATGCAGCAAGATACAACAGCATGGAAAAGCTGAGTAGGAAAAGTGAAGACCTTGTGACTCAGAAATACTCTCCATCATGAATTATGTTTCTGCCCTATTATTTAATGGGAAGGCATATATACTTAATAATAAATAAAAAGCAGTAAACACCACATTATACCCCAGAGATGACATACAGGAAAACAGATCAGGCAAAGCTAACGAGACCTGAAGAGGCTTTCTCCAACTTGTGGGATCAAGCCTCCAATAACACTGACAGTCAATACAAAAGCTTCAAATGTATCCAGAACATTGTTATTTCAAAATAACATACTTCATTTAGTAGTCTTCAGACTTGAAATGCCTTTCTTTTCTCCATGACAAGAACTTAACTTTTTTCAGTGTACAAAGTGTTTCTCCTGAATTAGAGATTCCAAAAGACAGCGGATTTGGATTACAATGATCTTAGTTTTCCACAAAAGGAAGAAATCTCACATTTGACCTTTTTTATCCAGTAAAAAGTCTAGCGCCAAGTTTCAGTAGCGTCATGCAATCCAAGTAGCATCCAAGTCATGCAAACTTGGACAGCAATGGTTTTCAAGAGGCTCAAAATTGAACCAATGAAATAGTCTGTTTTATTTTAGCTTAGCTGCCCTGATTAAATGGGTTAAAGTCATCACACCATGTCACTGAAAGTTTGTGTTCCAGCTGGTTACAGCTGTCCAAAATATCAACAAAGCTTTCAGCATCCACTGCTGATGCTTTTAACCTTCAGAACGACCACATATCAAATACAGCACAACTAAACAGAAGTTTCAGGCAAATCATCCATTTCTTCAAACGTATTCAGGGTGTTTTTGCTATTAGTTCTTGAATTATCTTGAACTTTGCTTGGATCTGCAAAAAAATGCATTATAAACAAAACAGGATATGGTAGAAACTGTATATGCAAGATCAAATTTTTGCACGTCTATTTTTTGTTTAAAACACATGCATTTATTTAAACAGCAAATTGTCAGTTTACTACCATATCTTAGACAGAAATTTTTGTCTGCCCCTTTTCATTACTACTGAGATCATTTACTAAAGCAATATAAATGCTAATTGACTCAAGAACAAACTTCAGAACAAGTCTCCCAGATCCTCATACGCCCCTATCGTAAACTGACGCCTGCTGCCAGAAGGACATCTGACACCTCAAAGTTAGGTCATTTCTCTATTACACTTCCAACACTGTCAGCAGATGGGTATCTTGAATTTCCTGGTCAACATTCACGAGGGGCAGTTTGTCATCCAATATATATCGCAAAACAAACATGAATGTTCCAGGGTTAAAAACAGCAGACTATAGTATTGTCAGATAGAATCAGTCCAATTTCTTGCCAAATTTTGCAATCCTACATGTAACTATTTAAGGACTAGAAGTACTTTATGACAACTTTTTCAAAATAATATTTTCTGTCTATTAGTATGTTCTCCAGCCTTATACCATTCAATGCCATAAGAGAATGTAAAACTTAGATCAACCATAACTTCTTAGAGGGAAAATAAAGAAAAGGTAAAACCACCATGTTTTGATGCCGAGGTGTAAATAATCAGAGTTTGTAACCAACCCTCTCTCCAAATCTTTAAAAATAATTTAACACCCCTACCGTATTAGCCATGAGTTTCCCTAGCACTAAAGTGTGGTTGAATATCTAGCTTATGAGAGTTTATATTTTTAAAGGTATAAAACTATATCAAAGCATTTCTAAGAAAAAAATGATTTCACAAATATGGTGGTGTAAAATTCTGTAGTACCTGTTGGCCCTGGATCTTCATTAATAAATGAAACATGTGTTTTCCACTCGGTCCATTTCACTTCATTAATCCTGTTTATATCATATATAAGTTGTGTTATTAGAATACATTATCTCCCAGCTACATAGCTGCAGCTCCCCTTTTATTTCTTTATTCCTTCTTGGGATTGTCATACTTTACCATCAACACCTGCTTTGCTAGTACTAAAAGGCTGAATGTCTTTTGCAGTGTTATGTACTATATGAAGATGAGAATAATACTAAGACTACTTCATAATGTGTGAAATTATAAGTACAGTCTTGAAACTCACCTTAAATATTTAAGTATTTTTCATAAAACAGCATAGTAGTATTTTCTTTAATATGGTAATCATCAATTAGCAATTTAAATATAATTACTTTTAAGCTAACATTCAAAGGAGATTGTGACAAAGTACATTTACTGCAAGCAGACTTCATACTTGTACATTAAAAACATATGAAGTTGAAAATCTGTTTTCTTACCAAAAATTGTCTACCTAAAAAAACCTATACATCTTGCCTTTTTTTAAACAA